TAAACAGGAACCGACTTCAATCTGTGGGAGCCTTTTCAAAGTAAAACAGGAAGTGGGTCAATTTCAAAATAAAATAAGAATAGGAATGTTAAATTCGGCAGCACGGTGGCGCAACTGGTAGAGCTGCTGCCTCTCAGCGAGCAGGTCCTTGGTTCAAACCCCGGTCCAGGGGCCTTCTGGGTGGAGTTTGCATGTTCTCTCCGTGCATGCGTGGGTTTTCTCCGGGTACTCCGGTTTCCTCCCACAGACCAAAAACATGCATGTTAGGCTGATTGGTAACTCTAAATTGTCCCTAGGTGTGAGTGGGAGAGTGAATGGTTGTTTGTCTCGTTTGTCTCTATGTGGCCCTGTGATGGACTTGCGACCTGTCCAGGGTGTACCCCGCCCCTCGCACAGTGATTGCTGGACATGGGCACCAGCGACCCCCGTGACCCAAAATGGAATAAGCGGGTAAAGATAATGGATGGATGGATGGATGTTAAATTCAACAAAGAACACAATCTTTATTTCACAACATAGCTCATCCTAGTTTCATTAAAAGTTGTTATAGGTGCTAATGGCTTTGGGCAGAAAGGATCCCTTGTAAAGGTATGTCTCACAGCAGATCTGAAGAAACTGGCTGCAGATGCCGATCCGTGGCAGCAGGACCACCTGAATGTTGGGCAGAACTCCTCCCTGAGCGATGACCACTCCTCCCAGCAGCTTGTTGAGCTACTCTTCATTGAGGACAGTCTTCTTCTGGTTGTCATGATCTGCATTTCCTGTCAGATCCAGGATGTCGGCAGTCAGTCACTCGAGCACCTCCGCCAGGTAGATGGCGATACATCCATGGCGCCTCCTTTACAACTCATTTGGGAAAGCCAAATAATTGGAAATTTATTTTAATCGGAAAGCTGAAGGCAAAGGTGGAGGGAAAAAGTTTTTGCTACTGTTAGGTTTAAACACCTAAAACATGTAAAATACCTCAGAACATAGTCATTGGAAGTACATCTACAACTGATTGTCTTTGGGAGCAAACCTGACTCAAGATGGATGCCACAGCTGACTGACTCTTAAACACCAGAAATGTCTACATCTAAATAATTTTTATAGCCATTGAGCTCAAATTTGTTGTGGGAGTAGCTGAGAACTATCCCTAACATATATACATCACAAAACATTTTTGCTGAAAACATTAAACTATTTGAGTCAATCCTATTTTACTGCTGTCAAAATATTTAATGAATCACTGAACAGATTTCAATGAAACTTAAAATTCAATTATTGGTTGGACATTTACAGCTGATTAACTTTGTGTGTTATCCCAAATTTAAAAGGCCGACACAGTTATGGACTTATTAACCCCCACAGAAATTGTTATTTCAGTAAATTCTACGGATATAAACCTACACCTTGGTGAAACACCTCATGAAAGACACCACAATATTGCATGAGATTGTGCACAAGGAATTTTTCATGGTTTCACCAAATTACTGTAACTACAAGATGATGTGGATATAAAACTCTGACGTGAATGCTAGCAAGCGACATGCATTCCTTCAAAGAATACTAGGCCACAGCTTCAACAAAAGAAATGGAAACAAACTGTGTCAAAGTGACAAACAAGTACTTCAACGTTCAAATATATTTTTATTTATTTATGCTAATTTCTTTTATGAGCTGGTGGGGTTTTTTAGAGTTCCAGATCTCTTTCATGCCTGAATGGTGCAGCGGTCAAAGGTAAAAGGCTTAAAAAACAAAAACGATCAAGTATTGGACTGAAACTGACTGAAAAGCAGACAAAGTTAAAAACTGACACACCTTTAGAAAGCCAGGTCTGAACTGTTAAGACTAGTTTAAAAGATCATAAGAAATCTGTCTCACTGGAAGTTGAGTATAAAGGAATTAAACATTATTAAAAAGAATACAGATTATTAAAATGATCAAAATAATAAAAAAAAAATATATATATATATATATATATATACATAAGCATATTTAAATAGTAAAAACTCTTTTATACTGCATGCTCCGTTTGCAAACATCACTTACGTTCTTCCTTTTTATCCATTTAAACTAGATTGTCAGATAAATTGCTCTAATTACCCTGATGGTATTTTCATCTTGCTGCTTTGTCGATAAGTACCGGTAGTTGGTGCTTGTGTGTGTATGTGTGTGTGTGCGTGTGTGTGTGTGTGTGTGCTGAATTAGCATTGTAATTATTTGAATGGGTTACCCCCAGGGAGGAGGGAACAGGCAGTGATTATTAGTGGATTTATTGTCTACAGTTAGTTTTGGTTTTAGTGCGGTTATAAAGATTGATGCTGCAGGAGAAAGACATTTGTATGCAGAGGAGAAAAAAAATAGAAAGTAAACACCTACCCTCCCTAAAAAGTTTGGACTTGTTGAGTAACTGTGGAGCACAGATTATCAAAATCAGTCCCAACCTTTTGTTCTTTGTGGCTGTGTTGAATCTCTCATTTCATTTATTTATCTCATTTGCTGTTTATCTTCTCTCCATTGTTCCCTCCATCCATGTAGGAGTGACAGTTTTTGTGATTAATCTATATTTTTATACCCCTCACACATGCCACACAGCTAACAGTATCATGCTGCTAACTGGACCATGTTGCTAAGATAACCTCACTGTCATCAGAACCAGTCTGCCAATAGGACCATGCTGCTGTAGATTTATTTCTGTCACTTTTGGCACCTTGTTTATGTATTTTTGTTGCATGCTTTGAATTAATCGGGGTCGGCTCCTCTCGCATTAAGCGTGTAAATTATAGCTGAACAGAACGGATGAGAATCATGCTGCTGCTGTTCAGTGTATTGTTTTGCACTATTAGTGACTGACATACAGTATATCTTAGATCTTTTAGCGTACCGTTGGACATTTAGCACATATCTTAGTTTATATCTCAGATCCTTATTTACTGTTTCTTTTTATACTTTGTATTTTTGCTATTGTTGGCTGTAACCGGGACCCTGTGTACACAATTTTGGTCCACCTCATGTGACATGTGATGCGAATGACAATAAAAAAATATTTAAATGTATTCTTACGCATACTAACTGGATCTACTTCTTTAATATCTCAATTCTATTTTGCTCTGATTTGGATGAAAATGGATTCATTTGGTTGCTTTCCATTTAAATAAATCTACACTCCGCCAGTCTGCCGGCTTGCATCTGCCAGCCTCCACTTCCTGTGTCTGAAACCATTCTGGCTCTGTTTGGCTCCTGGCTGCCAGGCAGAGGAATAAATAAATTGGACAGGATAGAGATGAGTGGAAGAAATTTAGTTTCTTTTTCTTTCTGCTTTACCATGACAAGAAGTGTGCAACACTTGGTGTATAATGTACAGGCAAAATACTACAAAATGTTGATTTTTATTTATTTATTGGTGTAGAGTTGTGTGGACAACAAGTGTTAAAATGTTTTAATCAATGTGATAGCTACATTTTAAAAAAGTGGAGGTGAATCTTTTCATCTTGTTTTTTGTCGTCACTGATGGCAAACTTTTGTTTGGCTTTCTACGTCTTCATTTGTCTGCATTGTTAGCAAAATATCTCATGAACCACTGATCATACTGAATAAAACTCAGGTAGTAATCACTGGATTGCCATGCCTATAATACTGTACTGTCAATAGTCTGTCCTTATCAATGTTCCAACACATATTGAACAATATTATTGATATTGTTTAACTTGTTTTTTTTTGTATATTGTTTTTAACATTTAAGAACTTTTGTGTGAATCTTTTTATCTTTTTATCTATTGCTGATGTTGCTGCTGTTACACTTGAATGTTCCATCTGTGGGACAACAAAGACTGTTTCTATTCTACTCTATTCTACATCTACAACCTTATCAAGTTAATCCCATTCAATATGGCCACCACAGGTAATCAACTTGGGCAATGCAATACTGTACACATAAAATAAAATAAAATAAAATTTGACTGATGTGCTAAAGTTTGACAAACCAAACATGGATGTAGTGCTTTCCGTATTTTGGGGGACAAGAGCAATTCAGTAAAACATTATGAACAAGCTGCTAGATCTCACAAAAATCCAAAACTCTTTTAAAGCAACTTACATTTTTAGCATTTTAAATTTGACTAGATCATTTTAAAAGCTCTCGTATTTAATTTCCAGGTTTATACTTCCGTTACGCTATGATCGTCTTTTTCCTTTCAAGTCTGAGTTTTTATTTTTTCTTCGTATTATTGGTATTATATTATGATATGGTATTGGCTCAACATTCATCTGTTCTCACTCTTGCTTCTTTCCAGAGTTGACAAGAGCTTCTCCAGGACCAGAACCTCATGGTGAGTCTCCTTCTTTTATAATAAAAGTAGCTTTTCACTTCAGAGGATTTAGTTTCATGCTTCACTGCTTCCTACACTTCTCTTAACATTACAGTTCCAAATGCTGAAGTTTGGAGATGTAGGCTGTTCTTTTTGTTTTTTATTTTTAATGTGGCCGACTTCAAATAAGATGAAGTCAGCGTTCTGTGCTCAGTTATAGAAATGATGAAAGTAGCTGGAAATGTCTATCAGACTTGTGTTGTTTATTCTTTTTTACTGTATTGGTAAGATCTGAACAAACAGCCTTTTAAAACATTTTTTTACATATTTTCTTGATTTTATGAATGAATTAATTATATAATATTTTAAATAATTTAGCAGATGTTTGGTCTATTTTTTTTATTTTGTCTTTTTTTTATTTTTTTGGACTGCATGGCAGTATTTTTGTATCTGTATATGCTCCTGTGAAAACAATGAAGTTTTCACAATAACAGACTTTTTTCAATGATGGCAGGAAACTGTGAATTTGAATTGTTGATTATATACTGTAAATATGGAGCAATGCACGCACATTTCTTGTGGTGGGATTTCTTACCTTTTTTTTTAACATCATTTATAGGGCTTACTGAAGTTTGAGAGGATATTAGATAATACAATTATATAATTTTCTCATTGTTTTTAGGTTTAGCTAGTTTAATTACGGGCAGCATGGTGGCGCAACTGGTAGAGCTGTTGCCTCTCAGTGAGCAGGTCCTTGGTTCAAACCCCGGTCCAGGGGCCTTTCTGGGTGGAGTTTGCATGTTCTCTCCGTGCATGCGTGGGTTTTCTCCGGGTACTCCGGTGTCCTCCCACAGACCAAAAACATGCATGTTAGGCTGATAGGTAACTCTAAATTTTCCCTAGGTGTGAGTGAGAGAGTGAATGGTTGTTTGTCTCATTTGTCTCTATGTGGCCCTGTGATGGACTTGCGACCCGTCCAGGGAGTAGCCCGCCCCTCGCACAGTGATTGCTGGACATGGGCACCGGCGACCCCTGTGACCCAAAATGGAATAAGCGGGTAAAGAAAATGGATGGATGGATGGATGGATGGATGGATAGTTTAATTACATATAATGGCATGTATTGTCATGTTTGCAATATTTGTAAATTACCCCAAAAGTCCAAGTTAACATCAACGTTGAAACTGTGAAAAAATGTGCTTTTCTTTTGATAGGGTATTTGGTTTAATTGACCTTCATATTATTGACATTTTTAGTTCTCTGCATAAATTTACCTCAATATTTTATATTAAAAACTTACTGGCTTGGTTTAAATTTATTTTAATGTTGCGAAAACATCTTTGAAAATATTTTTATTACGTCATAGTTTTATTTTTTGTTGAGGATCCTATTATTCATATATGTGTGTGTATATATATATATATATATATATATATATATATATATATATATATATATATATATATATATATATATATATATATATATATATATATATATATATATATATATATATATATATACAGTGGGGAGAACAAGTATTTGATACACTGTTGATTTTTCAGGTTTTCCCACTTGCAAAGCTTGTAGATGACTGTAATT